GATTGAAGCACTAGTTCATTTTTGGGATCCGAAAAAAAATGTATTCCACTTTTCTGACTTTGAACTCACCCCCACACTGGAGGAGATAGGCGCATTCATAGGAAGGGATAAAAATCTTCACGAAGAAGAGCCTATGATACCAAAACATATCAATGGTAGGAGGTTTTTAGAGTTATTGCACATAAATGAGAATGAAATAGGTGGTTGCCTTGATAACGGATGGGTTCCGTTAGAATTTTTGTACAAAAGATATGGGTGAAAGGATGGGTTCGAGTTATATGGAAAGAAACTTCGTAATAATGGATATCGTTTGACCCGGGAAGCACACAATTATGATGCATTCACAGTAGCTTTTTGGGGATCATAGTGTTTCCCAAAAAGGGAGGAAAGATCAACATAAATTTGGCTGCAGTCATTACAACTTTTGAGAAAAAGCCTAATATCACCCTCGTACCCATGATTCTAGCAGACATCTACCACACTTTGACAATTTGCAAGAATGGAGGAGATTACATTGAGGGATGCAATATGTTACTACAACTATGGATAATTGAGCACATTCGTCATCACCCTTATGTAGTGGACTTCAAAGTAGAATGGAATGATTACATTGGGGGCCACAAGGAAAGAATTAAAGATCATAGTTTTCTGAAGGGTATTGAGGCTTGGAAGAAATACCTCAATAATCTGACTGCTGACAAGATTGTGTGGAATTATCATTGGTTTCCATCAGCCGAGGTGATATACATGTCTACCTTTCGATCGTTCATCATCCTAATGGGTCTTCGAGGTGTCCAACCTTACGTGCCACTTAGAGTTATGCGACAACTTGGTCGACGCCAGTTTTTACCACCTAATGAAGATATGCGGGAATTCATGTATGAGTTTCATCCCGAGATTCCTTAAAGGAAATCAGAGATATTCAAGATTTGGGGGGGATGCATGCTCTCAAGTCCCCGTGATAGGGTGGAGGATCGCACCAAGGGTGAGGTGGACCAAGCATACTTAGAATGGGTTCATGATCAACCCCCTCCTAAGGTATTGCCAGAAGGATCGGTGAAATGACCTACAGATCGAGAAGCAGAAACTGAGGTTAGGATTAAGCAAGCTCGCCTTGAAGTTGAAAGAAGCTATAGATCTACTCTGGATGTCCTGAGTAATGACCTGAAGAATGCTAAAGAGGAGTTAGCCCAACGTGATGCGATATTTGAAGTGAGAGTTAGAAAACATCGTTCTACCATTCTGACCTTACAAGAAGACTTGGGCATTGTCACAAGCGATATGGAGCAACAAGAGAAGGAGTATAAAAAAGAAAAGGTCCAACTTATCTGCGTACAGTGTAGACTCCAGAATAAATTAAAGGCTTCTATGGAACGAGAAAGGGAAATAGCAAGGCGTTTCAGTGCTTATCAGGCAGAATGTGAGGTTGAAAGAGGTCAAAGGATAGCCCAGCTAGATGCACTCCACCTTCAAATTGAAGAGCTCTACGAATAGAGGGAGAATTTGACGCATGAAGTCAATACTACTCGACATTGGTTACAAAATTATTATGACAATATGAATGAAGCCAGAGATCGAGTGCTTCAACTCAGGGATGCGTGTAACGACCCGGAAACTTGTTTAGCTATATATAAAAAGATCCGTTTCATTTTTCGAAAATCTGACTTCATATTCTTGTTTAGGGGGTCAAATTGAGTGGGAAATGGGTCTAACCCAAATTTTAGAGCAACCGTATCAAAATCCGAAATTTCCAAGTGAAGCCTTTTTCGAGGGTCTACTTTGGAGGGTCATATCTCCTAGCACACAAATTATTTGGGTGGCCAATAATATCCATGGAAAGCCCTTTGAGTTAGCTACCTAACGCACTTCATTTCATCTCATTCGGAGTTCGGATGAAGAAGTTATGCCCATTTTCGTAAAATCTGTTCGGCAGGAAAAGGCAATTTCCAGTAGGCGTGGTTACTGTTCACCCGCCTCATTTTTTTTCTAAGTGTTGGACCATTCTTCCAAAGGACATATATTATTTCCTAGATACCATTAGTTCAATTCCCATCCCTAAAACATTTCCCTCTCTACAATCCTCCATTAAGAAGAAGAAGAAGTGGGAGCTAGGGCTTTGGATTCAAGGCTTTCTTCATCAAATTTCGTGGGAGATCATAGCAAAGGTATGGTGGTCTTGATCCTTGTCTAAATTTCCATTCAAGGAGCCAAATCCAAAGTTATTTCAAAGTATGAAAAATCTAGGTTTTCACTCAATCTCATGGGTTCTTCCACCAAATGGTTTTAAAAGGCTTCTAATGGCACTTTATGGTTATATTGTTGTTGTATTGACGATTTAAGATGAAATTACTCCATGAACCCATGGTTTCTCTTTATTCCTAGTTTATGCCTTTATGAAGTGGGTTGCTAGATAATGAATGTATATGAATCAAACTTGTTTAAAGGTCTTTAGATTGTTGAAGTATGTCATTACCCATGCTTATTTTATGGTGTATTGTTGGTGTATGGGTATGTGAGGCTTAGGGCCTTAAAGGCATAGTATGAGAAATTGGAGTGTTATCATGACATTATATGAATGAGAATTCAATGAAGATAATGTGATCATGTTATGAACGTAAAGGTGTTGCTATTGAAAGATTATTTCTCAATTTGACACTCATGAATGTTGATGATAGAATATGAAGGATTCTTCAATATAAAGTATACCTTGAATTGGTAGGGCTTATGCATCATTTTCTTGTATAAATGATTATATTGTTGATTGTTGAATCCTCGGATCGGTAGGCTAGTGGCACCCTTCCACACGAGCTTATAATGAACCTTGGAATCGGTAGGCCTATGGCACCTTTCCATGAAGGTTAATGATGAGACTTGAACCGGTAGGCCCATGGCACCCTTTCAAGAGGAGTTAATGAGCTTTCCTAAATGAACCTTGAAACGGTAGGCTTAAAGCACCCTTTCACGTGTTAATAAATGTAATTTGGAGTTGGTTGGCCAATGACACCTCTCATATGTGATAATGTCAATGTAACGAACTATTCTATGGGAATATTGGCTAAGCACCGAGTGGATTTGGTTAGATGGAAACTCCCCCAATAGTTAGGCATGAGTTTCAATGATCGTCTACCTTATCCCATAAACTATGTGCCCGCATAGGTAGCTAGTGGATCCATTAAGCTATATACCGGTCTTCCTTAGGCAAGTAGACCACCTTTTTACGGTGTGGGGACTTATGACACCGGATTCCATGACAAGCTCTCATGGTCTATGTCGGTTAAACGCTTACTTCCCATCATGCGAGATTTCCTTATGGTTTCTTGATAGGTTCTACAAAGTGTAGGTAGTAGTATGGGATGCTACCTATACATTGCACGAGTAGGCTAGGAGAGGGTCATAGTGAGTTTCTCTAAATCCTAATGTATGTGATACAATTGTGGCCTAAATGAGGTTATTAAAGAATGTTGGCTCTCAAATGCTTAATATGAGATGCATGCTATACTTGGGTTATATTATGAGTTATTTTCCCTTGCCATGTCTTAATTAATGATATACCTCTTATGTATGAATATGGTGCAAAGGTGAAAGAAAGGAATGATAAGTTACCTTAAGTGACCTTAATGTGGTGCCTTAGTATGGATGGTGGTATGGGACGCCATCCATACATTGCACGAGGTATAGCATAAGGGTTTCTTGAGGTGAAGGTCCAAGGTAAAGGTTTTCATGTTGAAATTGTTTAAAGGTAATATTATGACTTACTTGATGTTTATGCTTGTATTGTATGTCTTTTATGCAACTATTCATGGTACTTCAAAAAGTGGCATAATGCATGGTTTCTAACCAAAATGTCCCTTTTAAAGCATGTTTTGCATGGTCATCATACTTAGTACATTTTGTGTACTAACCCATATTCTTCATATTTTTACTATAAGTGTAGGTTCCGGCAAGTGATCCCTTCTAGCTAGTTTGAAGTGTTGGATTGCTTTCCTCCAAGACTTGGTATGTCCTCATGGATTCGAGGATAAGACTTTTAAGTTCTTTTGTTCATGTAATAGACTTAATAGACTTCTTTTGATTGTAAAGGGCCGTGTCCCTACTTATGTTTTGTGACTGTGTCTAAGATGGCCATGTGAGACTTAGACTTCCGCTGTGTGTTTTTAAAGTTGTTTTAATGAAGTTTAAATGTGTGGATGTAAATAAGTTTTTTTTTTTTATTCCGCCCTATTTTCATTATTGAATGCAATGAATGACTATGTGGCTCGTATAAGACCCCTTCGGGGTCGAATACGCCATGTTACGACTAGGGGGTACTCTCGGGTCGTGACAATGCACTCAATGATGTTTATGCTGGTTATTTACACCAGAATGATGAGAGATTGGGCCGACAGGCACGTGTTCTTGCTTTAAATCTACCAAAAGCCTTGGCTAGGATTTAAAGGGTCTTGGGGATGATTGAGATCCGAGGATTTAGCTTTTTTCCCAGTCTGTTTTCTTTTCTTAGTTATTAGTTGTTGTTGTTTTTTTTTCTCTCTCTCTTTCGTTAATCATTTTTGAGTCTATCGTAGTCTTAGCTATTTCTATTTTCATGTTTTATTCAAATCATTGTGTTAAGAATATTTGAAAATGAATGAAAATGATTTTCTTTTGGTCAACTCATGTACATATATTTTAAAAAAATATTATTATTAGTATTATCTTTTACGAACTACGTAATGATCTGATTCATGTTCAACACGATACGTAGGCAACCCTCAACGGGTTCGATCGAAATGTGTTTCAAAAATATTCAAGTGAGTAAAGTATGAGACTAAAAGACATAGTCAAGTCGCCTAAAGCCAGGATGAAACATAAAAGTTGGGAATCTGCTGTAAGGGCAGGTATCCTTGAACCTCTCTCTCTTTTCCTCTCGAAAGTTGTGCTTTAGGTTGAGATTGTTGAGCCTCTCCCTGATCATCTACCTGTATATTCTCATCCTTCTCTCTGCTAGCTAGCTCCAAGACTTGTTAATACTTAGTACCTGCAGAAATAGGGTAAGAAAGAACTTTACCACTCCTGGTGGCTATGGCCATGCAGTGTCCTTCCTTCTTGGGATTCTGAATGGTATCACTTGGTAGTGATCCGTTCTTTCTCGGATTCATTGAGGCTGAGCGTTGCCCCAACTGCTGCTCTATTTGTTTAATGGAGGTGGTGTGAGAGTCCACCAACTGACTCATGCTCGAGAAGTCACCTCTTATTTCTTTCAACCCTGCATCGGTTGACTCAACCTTTTGAAGTACCTTAGCCATCATGTCTTCCAGCTTGGACCCGTTAGAACTACCACTCACCCGGTCTCTATTACATGGAGGTACATATACACCATTGCGATCATTCCTATACCCCTCTCTGTTTTGCCAGTTTCCTTGATCTCTATTTGCTGGCCTTTCATACTGACCATCCCTAGCATAGCTCCGACCTGCATTTCCAGAATTGTAACCTTGATTTCCAGAGTTATAATTCCGGAAACCTCCTTGATTTCCCAAATAGTTAGCTTCCTCATCAATGTCAAGATCCTGATCTTCATACCTGTGTTGCTGTCCCACAGCATTCACCTTTTCAGACTTGGCAACAATGTGCTTTGTGAGCAAGTCTATTTGAGTCCTCATATGTGCCATGTCTTGGTCCATTTCTTCTTTTCTCTTCCTTTGATCAGCTGAAAGCTCAAATGTATACCCGAGCTCTCCTACCTCTGCATCTCTAGTGTACCATGCTCTGTTGTTCTTTGAGACCTCATCTAATAACTGCATGTTTTCTGCAAATGGCTTCCTCATAAATGAGCCTCCACAAACTGCATCAACAACAAGTTTAGTAACATAATTCAGAGACCTATAAAAGGCCTGTTTAAGATGCCTTTCGGTAAGATCATGGTTGGGGCATTTCTTTAACTTTTGGTTGAACCTCCACCAAGTATCATGCATGGCTTCTCCTGGTAGTTGCTTGTGTGTACTAATCTTGTCCTTCATCTGCAGCTCTTTTGATTCTGGGAAGAATCGTTCCAAGAAAGCTTCCTTCAGCTCATTCCAAGTTCTAATGGAGTCATCTGGCATCTCATTCAACCAGTTAGTCGCCTCTCCCGTAAGGGACAATGGAAACTGCCTCAATCTCATTGATGTTTGATTTACCCCAAGAATCTCTTGTGACTTACAGATAGCCACAAAGTTCATCAAGTGCTGATTTGCATCATCACCAGCGGCACCCCTAAACATACCCTTACGGTCCAACAATTGAATCATAGTGTTGGTGATTGTCAACTTAACACCTGGAGGTAGTGCAGGTAACAGTATTGCTCCAGTGGCTCTAGCTCCATCCAAATCTGCATCATCTTCATCATACATCATATGCGCTGGATGCTGAGCTATACCCCTTGGAGCTATTGGTTGGCGCTGGGGAGGGATCAATCCATCCACTCCTCTATTCTCATCTACCACCCTAGGTTAGTTGTTACCGCTGTTCTGCTGAATACCTCTTGCAGCGACTTCAGCTTCTAGTCCCAACCTTTGTCTTTGTGCCTCTAGCTCTTGTGCATTCACCATTTTCCGAAGAGTCTTTTAGAGTTCTGAGTCGTAAGGGATCAATGGAACTCCTTTACTTCTGGAACTTGGCATACACAGTAGCAATCACCTGAAAGAGACACAAACACAAAACAAAACGTAAAATTAGGAAATATAACTACAAATTGAATAAAACATAGTAAAACACTTCTGAATTGAAATTCCCCGGCAGCGGCGCCAAAATTTGATACGTCCAAACTTACATTCCAAATAAGAAGTGTAAACGGTCGTTGTCAATTTACAGAACTCAACTAGAGTTGAGGTCGATCTCACAGAGAATTTATTTACAGACAAAGTTTCCCTATCGCATTTACTCAATTGTTGTTACTATTTCCTAAACAATTAACAAGGAAAGTAAAATTGGGTTTAATTGAAAAGTATTCTATCAGCAAGTACTTCCAATCAAAACTTAATTACACGGTTCACAAAAGATATCGTTGTAAGGTGATTCAATCAATTTAAAGAAACCAGGTTTTGTGTTCACTATGACGGCGATGATAACAATCTTCCGTAAATTGAGTGTCAAGTAAATCAATGTTTACAGACTCTTTGCGACTTAGAAAAATCTAACGCTTTTCAGCCTAATTAGATAATATCCACTCTAATTCTCTCGAACTTAAAGTGTTATCGATATTGGACTTCGCTTAATTTAATCCTATGTTAAAGATCCATTCTCTCGAAATCCGACCTTAACTCCAATTCGTAAACTTAGTTTAGCTTTTTCCCAACTGGTGCTTTTCTCTCGAACAAACACCAGATACATGTCTGTCTAAAGTGTGCACTCAATAGACTAAAATGATAATGAAAGCTGTAAACTACAAGTTGTAAACAAAGATTGCCTTTTTACTCATTTTACGGAATCGCAACTAGATTATCATTATAGATCCCACACACCCAGTCATAACGTTTAGCCACTCATGTTTTTATGCAAAGAATCAATCATAGATAATTAAAACATATTAAGCATTACTTACAAAAATAATCAGTAAATCAACAACCACTTGATAGTCTCAAAATCGAAAGGAACTATGTCCCACCGAAGACAATAATCTAAATCTGAAATCTCCAACTCAAGTTTCTTTTTCATTTTTCCTTCTGTAACGTCCGATAATACCTCCTCATCCAAAAACGACCCAAAGTAATTCAAAATAGAATGTTTAAAATGAGTCCTAATCAAGTTAGGACTGATTTGTCAGGCCCTGTCACGGCCACTATCACATTCCATCAAGGGATTCATGGACCGTGAATCCCTCCGTGGTCTTGCCTTGGACCTTCCCCAGAGTGGGTCTTCAAACTTGGTCACTGGAATGTACCACGAGAGACACCACGGTCCGTAGTGAGTTTCACGGCCTGTGAAGTCACTCGTGGTCTTCACTTGTTCAAACCTTCTTTTAACTCTTTCCTGCTTTTATACTGGTTTAACTTCATGGTAGGTATCACGGTCTGTTGAAATAACAACGTCCCGTATACCCCTCCGTGATCTTTACTTTGTTGTTCTTGCTTTCCATCTTTTCAGGACCCAGTTCTGCTTTACTTTCACGAACTCAACCACGAACCGTTATAAAGTTAACGGTTCGTTACATTAGCCGTGAACTTCACTTGTCGACATCAGTTCTGCTTCTTTTTCTGTAAAACTCAGATTCTGCCTACACAATTAACAAACCCATAAAATAATCCCTAAATATCACTTAATTCCAGTATTAGTTCATAGTTTATAAAGCATCAAATATGCTACGATTTTGCGGCACAACAACACCCTCAACTTAGAACCATTACTTGTCCTCAAGTGATGAGAAAATAAACAAATACAATCAACCCTCAATTCATTTCCAGATTTATGACGCTATGCAACAACTAATTCAATTATAATTTGTGTCCCCAAACCTCTGAATCTAACATGTAAGGATCAATACATGACATCTCATTACTCATAGTCAATCATGCTTATACCTGCGAATTATCAGCTCACACAATTTACTTTCAAACACAACCATTGTGTCCTCACACCAAAGAAGTCCCTCGCTCATAATGGTAGGGACTGAGTATTACTCTCACGCTCTCAATAAATTTCTAACACTAACAACAAACAACCTTAGGCTTGCCCTTGCTTTCTACACTTTCTCTTTCAACACCCGAAATACGATCACTGTAGGACTTTATTTGCTTGTAACATAGGCTCGGGGTTAGGGAGTGGATATTTGGTTTCATGAGTGACTAATTCCTTGGTTTCCCAAAGTTTCGTTTTCACAAACTCTTTTCTGAGTGATTCTTTTTTTTTTTAAATTTCAGCTTGACCCAATTTTATTATTTTATTAACTCAGCTCACTGGTTGAACCTTCTTTTTCCCCTTTTTTTTTTTTGAATTGTAATCACCCTCAACTTAGGCTTTTGGCCTGAGTTGTGATATCGTGTACCTTCGGAGAACCAAGGGTTTGATATATATTGGGTAGGAACAAAGATTGATTTAAGGCTCAAATTGGGTTCAAGTGATTAGCTTTTCATTTGGTTCCTTTATTTTTGACTTTTTACTGGTTTAACAAAAATGGCCTACTGATCCTTTCCTATCCGGTTATTTTCAGATTCAAGCAAGACTACTTAGGCAATTTCTAGTTTCTGCTCCTAGTGTTAGACTTCAACCAAAACTTACTCACATACTACACAGGATTGCATTTTTTTAGTTTCTTGGTTCACCAATTAATTTGTCAGATTAGCCATTTTCAACATATCAGTATCTAAGATGTCATCTAAAGATCCTAACAGTCAAACTCATGTTCGGGTCTTCAATATTCACAGAATAGCTGTTGCACAGCTCAATACATAAAATACCCGCTATGGCCGGATGCTGACCACCCTTCTCCCCAAATAAAAAGAACTTTGTCCTCAAAGTTGAGATAAAACAATCAAATACACAGGCTAAGAGGAGGGGTCATACCTACGGCGCTCTAGACGCCGGTCGTTGTATCAGCATTGGCACCCTTATCAATGTGTGCACTCTCAAGTCTCGGGACATCATCAGTGTGGTCCTCATTAGTCGAAGCAGGTACGCCACTACCAGAAGCTCCAACTAAGGCTGCATCTCGCTTTAGCTGGTTAAGGGCTTTCTTTTCTCTAGCTTCCCTCTTTGATGCTCTACGGGCTCTCTTTTCTTGCTTTCTTGCCTCTCTGGCGGGGTCAGTAGGGGTCTCCTCATCAAGTTCTCCAGTTATGTGCTTTCTCTTGCCGGATTTACTTGTAGGGGGTTCTCCCCAAAGGTCATCGAGTGTTTGAGCGGAGGGTGCCTGACTTAGCATTTGCATCAATGACTCTGGCATGATTGGAGTGGGCACCTGTGCTGGCTTTTCAGCCAGGTTAGCAATTTGAGTGTGCATTTCGGCCAACTGGGTTCTGAACTCTTCAGTATCGGCTGAACTTGTAGCCTGGAAGCGATCCTGAACAAGGTTCTTGTAGCGACCCTAAAAATAGATAGGTGAAACTAGAGCCTAACGTATGAATTTTTAAAGTTTAAGCATAAATTGGAAGTAGTCACTTTTGGAAAAAAAGTTCTGAATCTGGAAATTGGCTAAGTTCAAAACCTGGAAATTTGGTCAAGTGTGGGAAATCAGTGAATTTTTGGCCAACTTTGAGCAGTCATAACTCCTAGCTCAGGATGATCCAGGAGTAGTTCCAGTTATGTTTGGAAAGACCTTGGAACGATATTTCCAACGCCACCGAGTTTGCTCGATTCCGAGTTCATATGAGTGAGTTATGCCCTTTGAAAGTTGGGCAGTTGGCAAGGAGTCCGTCCGGAAATTTAAGGGCATTTTGGTCATTTCACAAATCTTTTCTTTTGAGGTTATATTATTGTGTTAGGATGATTGTGGATCATTTTTGTTCCATTTTAAAAGAGTAAAGTTAGGGTTCTTGAGTGAAGAAGAAAAGAAGAGAGGAAGAAGAAGAAGAAGAAGTTGGAGCTAGGGTTGAAGATTTTGAGTTCTTTCTTCTTCAATTTTTCGTGGGCTTTCAACTTAGAGGTATGGTGACCCTTGATCCTTGATGAATCTTTCTTTCAAGGAGTCCAATCAAAATGGTTTCAAAAGTGTTTCAAAGAACAAAAATCTCAAATTCTAATCTAAGCATGGGTTCATTGGCAAAACGTTTTCTAAGCCATTATATTGATGAATTAATATTTTTTTAAGATGATTTCGTATGGAATTCCTTGAAGAACCCATGTTTTCCCTAAATTCCTAAATTTGCTTATGAAGTGGGTCTTTTGCTTATGATTCAAAGTTTATGAAATTGTGTTTGGATTGGATTGTATTAGTGACTCTTATGATTTTCTACATCTATCTATGATGAATTGATGATGTATGGATGAATTGAAAGTTGTGGCCTTATGGGCAAGTTATGGATGAATTCTCTTGTGGTAAGTAAAATGGTTGGGACTTGAGTGTTGTTGATTATGGCTTTGGAGGATGGTAAGTTGGCTTAATCTCTTATTATGGATAAAATTGTTCTTGCTTAGTTTGATCCACTTATGATGGAGGTGTTTAATTATGGAATGTATTATGAACATGGACTTGAATGCATTATCTATTGAATTAAAGTGTTATCAAGTTATGAAATGTTATTGTACTATGTGAAGGTATTCTTATGGTTATAAGGTGATCTTGTACAAAGTGTTATTGTATTGTATATTATATATATAAATGAGGCTATATGTAAAGTCCTATATGAAGCTATATGTAAAGTTTTATGTGAAGCTTTATGTGTGAAGGTATGATGTGAATGAGTTTATGTGATCTTGTGATGATCCTATGTAAAGTGCATAGCATTGTGATTTAAAGTATGATTTTTCTCATGATGTATACATGAAATGATGTTGGATTATGAAGTATCCTTAGATGATAATGTTGTGACTTGGTTGGTAGACTAAAGTGTCTCTCCTTGTTACTTAAAGTCTTGAATGCATGAATGTGTGAAGTGGGCTAGAACTAAGAAATGGT